GGGGCAGAAGAAAAAGGTTGTAGTAGCAAGCCTGTAAAAGAAAAGAAAGTTAATGGATTCTTACTGCCAGGGATCGTCACCGAGGAGGAGAACATCATTCTCTCGGTCTACAAATACAAGCTGCCAGCCTGATCTCTCAGGGTCCTCCAACAAGCCTTCTAGCCCAAACATGTGAGCAAGCTCACTTCGAAGTTCGTGATAGCTGCTAAACTTGGAGATATCGAGTGACCGTCCAAAGGACCCTGATTTATGAACCTGCCAGAGACATGCAGTGTGAAACATCATAACACCGCAAAAATATATCCTCTTTAAGAACTTTAAAACTAGACAGCGTGTTTGGTCATGCAATTCAGAGAACAAAAGGTGAACTGATGTAAAGCTAATAAAGCTCACCTTCACAAAGGTTCTATTAGTTGGGTTTCCTTGGTCCCCATTTTCGGAGGACTGCAAGAAACCTGATTCATCTACACAACTTGAAGTTGTCATGTCTGAGTTAATGGGATACTCGTTGCCCACAGTATTTGTGAAGGTAGAGGTAGCATAAGGAATAGATAAAGATCCATTATCACCACTACTATCCTTCATGTTGGACATACCGTTCTGCAGTATGTTCAAAGAGTCGGTATTAAATCCATAGAGTGCATTGTTTTGGCTATCTTCTACTCCTCTATAATCAGAAAAAGATTCTCTGCCAGGAAAAGGGGGCAACAGAGAGGAAAGATCAGAGACTTTAGTATTGTGTGATATCACATCCTCAGGCTGGGGCACAGCGAATGGAGTAACCCGAGAAGGGAGCTGAGATTCTAGAGCAATTCGCTTTGATGATGAGGACGAAGACACTAGAGGGTGAGCTTCATGCATGTTAAGGACAGCAGACGCTCCATCACGGGAAAATGAACTCAACAGACTTTGCATAGTAGAATTACTAGATGCATTGACATGGTTACCAAGTATATCAGAAAATGTTTGTGGAGAACCAGTTGAACTTAAGACTTGCAAATGAGAAAGCTGGGGCTGCGCAGCCGAAGTCATCTGAGAGAGACTGGACATGGCCTTGGTTTGCTGTTGATGTTGAAACTGCGAGGAGTTCACTTCTTGGTGTTGCTGAAGCTGTGGTTGCAGCAATTGCTGTTGATCATTATAATTCTGACGGCGCTGCAATTGTTGCTGAAGCATCTGTGCCTGAGATATTAACTGGTTTTCGGAGAAGCTGTGGAGCAGATTTTGCTGTGAATGAGAAGGCTGCAAAATCTGACTATGACTCAAAGATGCTGAACCGCCAGGTATACTTTGTTGGAACTGCATAAAGGATTGATTTGCAAGTTTCGATGGATCTAGTGCAGCCATTGTTTGCAGAATGTCAGGTTGCAAACCTAACATAGAAGCATCAATTCTTGGCTGCATAAACGGAGTAACACCATATCCCTGGAAATTAAGCGACTGAATCCCTTGATCTCCTATGTCACCACGCAGCCACGAGAGTGGAGAATTCATAGTCATATCACCATTGGGAAAACCTGAGTGAACGAGAGGTAAACAAACCACTGAAAGTTAGAACTCAACCAAATTTACCTTGTTTCCCCAGGGCAAAAAAAAAAAGCAAGAAGAAACCATACCAGGGAGAGAAGGTAGTCCAGATGGCCAAGGCCTTTTTAGCCTAAGGGAGAAAGG